CTCCAACCCTGAAACCCCAAAAGATTAACCTAGCACAAGAAAGGTGCAACATGTCAACTTGGGACTTCTATGTAAATTTCTGTGGTGACTCCAAACAACAGGTTATGTTTAGAGGAGACTTGGGAGTCACTGATCCAGCCCTCTTTTGTGGTCATTTTGGAATGAGACTCATTGATTTCTAAAGGTATAGAGAATTCCTGAGCAGGGACTTCCCCGAGATTTTCATTCATTAAGGAGGAAAGAACGAGGGGCTCTGGTCTGAACGGATTAGAATCCCACCTGGTGTTTACACCAATCTGCAGGATGTGCTTAATATCCTGGCATGAATAGACCATCACTTGGCGGCAGCAGACAGCACCTGTTTACAGTGTCTCGTCTGGTCAGATAAACTTGATGATACTCTAATATCAAATCATATGAAAAACCGAAGGGTATGGATGTTCAATATCTTACAAATAAGCTGAGGGATGAATCTAGGCCAAACTGAAACAATTTCTCCCTAGAGGGAATGAAACATAGAAGTGAATTTGTTTTCTGTGTTATTAGCAGAAATGATATAGTTGTGATATATTACTACTAAATTATGATTAAGTCATAGCAAAAAAAGTATTCAAGGTTAGAAATACTAATTCTACTTTATGAAGAAACAAAATCATCTTCATTTGACATAGATCTACAAACTATAGAAACGTTGAGACTTAAGCACTCTCACAGCTGATTTAGTGATTATATATAACACATGTGTTGTGGCTAATATATAATGTAGCTCTCACACACACTTATAGTATAGGACCATAAAATCTTAACAATGATTTTAATTACAAGACTATTCCAAATTCCAACTGAGTTCCCCGGTCAGGGAACATTAGGACATCCTCTTCCTGTTTCCGCTTGTCCAAAAGCTGGAACAAAACTCTTGGAGGGGGTCCAGGATGTCAGGAAGAAATTATTTTAAGTGTTGTTATGTTTGGGAGGCGCAGGAGGGCAACAAGAATTGACCTCTATATCTGAATCCATGTATAGTAATAATAAAACATGTCCTAAAAAGACTCTGCTATGATAATTTCTGGCAGTAGGCAAGGGAAATTTCACAAATGTCCTACACAGAGACCTGTTTAGTCACTCCTTCCTCTGCTCCCTGAGCTCGTTGCACATCCCTCCATTAGCGCTTACCTCATTACACTGCAATTATTTGATCACAGGCCTGTTTCCAGCACTGACCCGTGACATGGCAAAGAGCTAAGAAGACTAACTCTAGAGCCAAACTGCCCAGATCTGAATCGTAGCTCTGCCACTAATTTAGTTCTGTGACTTTAAACAAGTCCCTTAACTTGACCAAGCCTCAGTGTCTCCACCTGTAAAATAAAGTTGGTAATAGCATCTGCCTGATATGGTGGCTGTGAACATGTCATAATGAATGAAAAACACATCCCACCTTCAGGAGTATCTTCAAGACCAGTTGGCTGTTCCTTGGTATCCCTATCTAGAGATAAATCTTGCCCCATCCATCTTTGTATTCCCAGCCTCCATAGCAAACCTACCTCCTGAAAGTAGGTAAGTTGCATGAACCAATGAATGAGAAATGTGGTGGAGAAAAGGAATTCCCCTCCAATGCCCTTAATTCGTTTTGCTCCAAAGCAGCAGAAAGACTTCTCTGCCCAGTGAGATTGTGAAGAATAAGTAGGTATGCGAGGCCCAGCCCACACATCTCCCCCTTGAGCATACGCTGGCCTCCTAGAGCACCTAGCAGACTCTCTGCTTCCAGCGTTGCCCTGGTGCACAGGCTACCCCTCTCCTCCCTCTCTTCCTCTGGGGAACAAATTGCCCACAGAAAGCAAATATTCTGCACTTTCCTTCAGGAACAGGCTCTTCCTCACGTGGTTTGTTGCCATCTGAGACTGGGTAGAAAAGACTGATGAATTCTAGGGCCAGTAGGTAGGGTCACAGGTCCTCACACTAAACTGTTCCCTCCAGCCTACTCTGACCAATCATAAGCATGATATTTTGGCTTCCTCCCACCAGACATCTGGATTGCTTCCAGTATGTTCTATTTATTGAGCCCTACCCAAAACTCCAATAGTGACGAAGTAACAGAAAAAAATTTTTTCAGATTTTTAATTTTTCAGAATCTTAGTAAAGTGCTACTCTTAGGAGGAACTGAAAATACGTGGATTTCTGGGGGATTTGACAGTCAAAACAAAGCCAGGCATGGTGGCTCATGCCTGTAGTCCCAGTGACTTAGGAGGCTGAGTCAGGAGGATTGCTTGAGCCCAGGATTTCGAGGCTGCAGTGAGCTATGATAGCACCACTCCACTCCAGCCTGGGTGACAGAGTGAGAACCCATATCTTAAATTAAAAAGTAGGGTGCTGGATGTTCTCCTTTTGCCTTGGCTTTCCTCTTCCTTGCTGTGCCTCAGGAGTTGGCCACCTTGGACTGCATCATCTGGGCTCTCTTGCCTTCTGGCTTCCAGCTGGGTTCCAGCAACTGGAAGAGATTCAAGGATGGGAAGAGAAAAAGACCAGAGTATTTACTCTGTCTACTCTTTTCCTGGCTGGCTAGATTTTGGCAGTGGTTGCTTTCCTCTACTATGGCAGCATCTCCTGTTGGATGCCCCTCTCCCATGGCTACAGCTCTTTCTGGACTCTCTACCACCACTCACTCCCTCTGTCCTAGGAGCAGGCACAGCTTCCCAACATTGCTAGTCCCCTAGGTGCTTCGTCATCTTAGTTGCTTGAACCCTGCCCACACCCCTATAAAGAGTCCCTTTGTCGAAGTCTCTTCCTCTTCAAGGAAAACCTTTAGTGTGCCGTCTCCTTCCCACCAGGCCCCTGATTGAAACAAGCGATGAAGAGTAAGAGGAAGACCCTTTTGGAGATGGACACATTGGACATACATAGCCTGGTTTCAAAAACATTTGTCTCATCCAAGGAAACTACCCTTATTCTGATTACATCTCACCTAGCAACTTCCTGATAACTTGGCTTTCCATGCTGTTCTGGCTAAAGAGACCCTGGTCAAACTGTCCCCATATACAAGTTCTTGTGATAGTTCAATCTCTCTTCTCAAATCAAAGAATAGTAAATGGAAAGTCAAAAAGAAGTAGAAGTGGCAGAATGAACTCAGTTTACTTTTAAGTTCTATGGGGAAAAAAATCATAAATTTTGAAGGGGTGACATTCTAAGATAAAGAGTTCTACAATCTGGGTTCAAAGATGAAGAATCTGAGGTTTACCAGGCACAAGCTTCTGAGAATGTAGCCTCTAAGTGAGCTTGGGTACAGACTCCATTTTCTAATTTTCTTTCTTTCTTCCTTTTTTTTTTTTTTTTTTTGAGATAGGCTCTCTGTTGCTCAGGCTAGAGTGCAGTGGCATCATCATAGCTCACTGCAACCTCAAGCTCTTGGGCTTAAGCAATCCTCCTGCCTCAGCCTTCTGAGTAGCTGGAACTACAGGTGTGCACCACCATGCCTGGATAATTTTTCTATGTTTTGTAGAGATGGAGTCTTGCTCTTGCTCAGGCTGGTCTAGAACTCCTGACCACAAGGGATCCTCCTGCCTCAGCCTCCCAAATTGCTAGGATTACAAGCATGGGCCACCGCAGCTGGCCTATTTTCCAATTTTCTAATCTATTTCCATCTGCCCTTTTATATTTTCATGTGTTTGACTATTTACCCATGTTGACAAACGTAGGCAATTTCTCTCAGCCTAAAACTTATGTGCGAGAATAAATTCTTGCTCAAAGGATAACATCAGTAAAGATTAGCCTTTTAGAATTCAGAGAATTCTAAAAGGCAATAGCTAAACAATAATTACTTTTCTATTGAAAAAGCAAAAGGAAAAAAATCCTTAGTCTAGCATTCCAATCCTTTCACAATACAAAGCTGCCATACCTCATAAACTCACTGACGTCAAAAACACACCATGCTTCTTCCTGCCATTTGGCCTTTGTTCATTCTACGACCCACAGCCTGAAACACCCTCCCCTGTCCTGTCTGTCTATCGCACCTGACCCTTCAGCCTTCAACTTCCAGATGCACTCCCCATCCCCCCACCACACCTTTCCCAACCTCGGCAGCGCGCCATGTTTTCTGTCCTCGAAGCACCTCTGGCACTTACTGGCTTGGCATGACATTATATTCTTGGAGCCATTTCAGCTCTCCCTCCAACCCTATTCCTGGGGTGGTACTTGGAGATTTCAATATCCTTCCAATAGCCTAGCCTCTCATGTCCCTTCATTCACATTTATTGAGTTGTTCTCTACAATACTTCAGCCACCCATCTTTCTCTTACCATTAACTGAACCCCCTCCATACTTTTAACTTAAAGCATTCCTTCCTGATGGGAAGGTCACTAGTCAGCAAAATAAATAAATAAATAAATAAATAAATAAATAAATAAATAAATAAATAAATGAAAAATATAATGTTAAAAAAATAAAATAAAATAAAGCATTCCTGTCTGTAATCACAATCTCTGATTTGGGATGACTCTATTACCCTAATGCCCTCTAGTCAATAAGCCTACCATCTTTTCACTCTCACACACTTTGTGTTCTCATTTTCCTCTTTATCTAGCTTAAAGCCCAATATTCATCACTGTATTCATTAACCTATATACACCTTTAATTCCCTGTACCTTTTCTACCTTGTTCATACCCCTCTGGCAAAATCTTAAGCCTGGCTAAATCCAAAGCTCTACCTACTCCCTTGCCTGTACTTGAACTTGGCTGGGGACAAGCGTACAACCACTTTATTCTCAATTTAAATTGTGACTTTCCTTATTGACTCCTTCTAAAGCTTTCAACTTGGTTTTTGTAGAAATAATCTTCTTCCTTTTTCATTCGTAGGTTTACCTGCTAGTTCATTAAATAAATAATAACTAAGTACAATAACAGATGTAACTGATATAAACATGTTTGGGAACAAACCAAGCTTACTCTTGGTTAGCATAAAACTCAGCTGAAGAGGACAGAAGCATAGGGTATAACAGTGAGTAGCTTACCAGCCTAGAGTGCTCAAAATGCCATGGGCCTCAGCTGGGATATATACTACAGAAGATGTGGAGAACCTCTGTCAATCTGGAAGTGGATTAAGGGAAAGTCAGTTCAGAGAATGTCTATTGTACATATATGCATGAAAACTATAGATTCTGTAAATAAGATCCTGTAAAGAAACAAAAAGGATTTACCTCCTACCACTTCTTTATTTCCAATATAAGTAGTCTGTTTGGGCCTATATTTCTTATATTTATAGTATAGCTATTGAGTAGACTATCAATTTGCCTCAAGCTCCTCTGTCATTTAGTAACCATGCTACTATTTTGGCTTCATTCCATAATGGTCATTTCCTAGTTAACGTTCTAACATACATATCAAGTTCTTTAAGATTAAATAGCTTCATGGCTGGGTGTGGTAGCTTATTCCTGTAATTCCAGCCCTTTGGGAGGCTGAGGCAGGAGGATCGCTTGAGCTCAGGAGTTCAAGGTTACAGTGAGCTATGATCAGGCCATGGCACTGCAGCCTGGATGACAGAGAGGAAGGAAGGGAGGGAGGGAAAGAGAGAGGGAAGGGGAGGGATTGGTTAAGTAGCTTCACCCAGAAGTTAATTATCTCTTCTACAAACACTAAGATACCATTAAGGGCAATGTTTCTCAATCATTTGTTTTCATTATCACCCTCCCACTACAGGACATTTTCAGACATTTTTTCTTAATTGCCCTCATAACATTTTATATCATAGATATACTGGATATTTTTTTATGTGCTGTATGTATATATATCTATGCTTTATATATTAAAAAGTAAGATTACGGCCGGGTGTGGTGGCTCACACCTGTTATCCTAGCACTCTGGGAGGCTGAGACGGGCGGATTGCTCGAGGTCAGGAGTTCAAAACCAGCCTGAGCAAGACCCCATCTCTACTAAAAATAGAAAGAAATTAATTGACCAACGAAAAATATATATACAAAAAATTAGCTGGGCATGGTGGCACATGCCTGTAGTCCCAGCTACTCGGGAGGCTGAGGCAGTAGGATCACTTGAGCCCTGGAGATTGAGGTTGCTGTGAGCTAGGCTGATGCCACGGCACTCACTCTAGCCTGAGCAACAGAGTGAGACTCTGTCTCAAAAAAAAAAAATTTAAAAATAAATAAAAAGTAAGATTACACACACATACACACACAACAAATTTCCACCTCCTTGGAGGTGATAGCGCCTCTGTTGAGAATGCGTGACTCACGGCATGTGAAGTGCATCCTATATGTGATTCTCATTTGGCTGCTGACAAATGAGATTTGTTATCTCAGATTTGTTATCTGCAGCTGACAAGACAAACGCAAATGGGACACTCCTTTGGGGAGGTGGTCTACTTTAATGGCGAAGCTGTCAGTAGTGTCCCATACTTCTTCTATCTGTTCATTTCTTCTATTCTGTCTTTCTTAACTTGCTGACTTCACTCTTACCAACTCAGCTCTCATTTTTTTATCAAAATGGTGAACAACTCAACAACACCAGACTAAGACTAAAGAGATCATATTTTTATCATCAAAAATAGTACAATATTAAGCAACAGTAGCAAATAAGCTTTCCCTTTCAGATTATTGGCAGTTTCTTTGACCTGTGAACTAAAATATCTGTGAATATTAATATCCAGTGTTATTGCATCATTCCATGCACCTCTCATCTTCACACTTATTCACAGTCAATATGTATTAATATCATTTATTTTAGCAGCACAGCTCAGAGGACCACATGATAGCATTCAGAAAAAAAAGAAAAGGAAGAAAAGAAAATAAGAAAAAGGTAGAAAGAAAAGAAAAGAATTCTGGTGGGGAAGAGGATCCTGATTTTAAATCCAAAAATTCTAAAGAGAACTATGAAACTTCAGTGTAATAGTAGCGTATTATCCTACCATAATAAGGAGGTCAGTTTGCTCCTCCAATGTTCACCTTTTAATACTGAAAAGTTGTTTTTAAGTTATTTTCTTAGATCTGGAGCCAGAAAAAAATACATTCTGTTCTGTGTATAATTATTTCATGAGCTTCTACAAGTAGTCTTCCTGACATTTGGAGGGCAGTGCAAATTACTGCTGCTCTTACTTTCTGCCTCTGTATCTGTCTGTCTTCTCAGGTTCTTAGTATGCAGGAATATGCACCCCTGATTATAGATGCTGGTAATTTTTTAAAGCTCCAAAACTTCCATGCAAAATTGGATTCTAACTCACTAGATAGTATCAAGACAACTAAAAATCAACTTTGGGGAAAATCAGGAGTACCACTAATAATTAACTGCTGTTAACCAAAAAAATGAGTTTTGCCATTGGACCAAGCCAGGCAGCTAATATATCTAAAATGAATGTCAATTCATTTCCTTTTCCCTATATAAATTAACTATCTTGAGTTTAAAAACTTTATTATTGCAGGAGGAAGGGAGGGAAGATAGGAAGAAAATACAAGATACATTTCTTATAAGCATCAAAAAAAATCTGGCAGAACTTCAAATTTTCCTGCCATTTTCAGGAAAAACTTTTTATTTCAATATTTTTACCTACACTGTTTTTTTTAATAGAATTAGAAATTAAGTAGCCGAGTGATTTATTTATGTGATATCTTTCTTACCCCATCAGACTGTACACTCCACAAGAGCCAGTGCCTTGTCTGCTTTGCTCTTTATTGCATCCAGTGACAGACCTGTATATGGCAGATGCTCAATGCATTTATGTTGAAGGATTGGATAGATCAGATAGGAACGAAGAAAATTTTGAAATGACACTTTTCTCAATGCAAAATGATGCTGTGAAAACATCTATTATTTACTCGTCCATCTTGATTCTTTATTTACTCATTCTAGAGCTATGTTGTGCCTGAACAGAGACTGTTAAGACATAGTCTCTGACCTTAAGGGACCCACAATCTATAAGGGAGACAGACATAAACCAATAAATCATAATACAGTGAGGTACGAGAAATAAATATCTATGCAAGGGGAAGAGAGAATGGGTAGCAATCCAACTGTCTCTTGTCGAAATCAGAATTGTATCTTGGGCCAAGCGACCATCCAAGGGTAGAAAAAATAAATGATTTAGAACTGAGTTTTTGTTTTGTTTTTGTTTTGTAACAGGACTATTAAAAATAAAGCCAAACTAAATTGGGGACTTTGTCCATCTAACCCCACTCAGATCTTAGTTTAAATATCACTCCATCAGAGAAATCCCCTCTGAACCCTCTCCACACACAGAGTTAGGTCCCCTCTGTGCCCTTTTGCTAACTGCGAAGTTCATGAGACCACAGAACATGTCTGTCTGGTCTACCAACTATTATATCTCCAGAGCCTAGAACTATCTCTGGCACATAGGAGTTGCTCAATAAATGTTTGGTGAATAAAGTCCCCCTTGTAATGTATTTATTTTTCTCTTTTCAAACCAATTTACTTCATTTTTCCATTCTATAAATATAAAAAATACTTCCCCTCTCTCAATAATGTTTTTGCCTTTTCCTTCAAGATGGTTGTTTCTCTAATGTTTCCAGGCATTATCATCCAATAACTGGAAGTAAATTGCATTTTAGGCAACTGCGCCCAGTAGGGAATTGGACCTGAAGAGATACCTAAGGCTGCTTCCTCCATCCCTGCTAGGTATACCCCCCAAAACTGGACCTATTTGTAGACTCCCAGAATAGTTTCCCCTGGGGTTTCTCCACACCTCACATGCACACAATTTCCAAATATGCATGGAAAAAGGGAGACTTTCTTTTGGAGAGTAAAGATTAATGTTCTTAAGGGAACCATGAAAGGTCAACATTCACTTTCTGCACCTGAAATTCTTACCCTCTGCTTTCACTATAGAGAGGAAGAGGAGAAGATCCTGGTTTAAGGCTTCACACGCTCCTGATATTTGGAAACAGAAATTTAGGAAGAACTCTGAAAAGCCTCCAGTCCTAAGGCACCAAGGTCCAAGGCCAATGGATCCTGTGTTTTGTGCTTCCCCAGGCCATCTGGCAGCCAGAGAGAGATATTTTAAGTCATGGCAAGGCATGTGGCAACCTCAAAAACCACACCCTTTGAATGTCAGCCTCCTCTGCCAGTGTGGGGCAAGTCTGGGGTGGGCAAGAAACAAAGGCTGTGCTGTGGGGATATCAACCCCACTGCAACACTGTTAACTTTACAAACACACACACACACAATTAGTATAAGTTTCTTATTCTTTTATTTACTAAATATTCTGCTGAAAGCTGGTAAAGTCAGTCAAATTTGGATGTTTCCAAATGTCCAGATGTGTCCTAGATACAGCCTAGATGTCAGGAAGAGACTTGAATTGATTTAAATATGGGGTATTTTTTTTTCACTGTAGAAATGTCTCTTCTGAATTATACCCAGTCTTTCACATGACCTTGGAAGAAATAGGGAAATATAATTAGTGAGGAGGGATAATACTGGTCCCCATAAATATTGGCTAAAAGTAGGCATAGGATTAGAGAAAAAAGTTTCTAAGTTTCTCTTAATAACATCCTTCTCGCTCTCTCTCTTTCTCTCTCTTACACACACAATGAAAATGATTACTAAAAGAAAAATATGGTAATATTTGAAGTATATTAAATATATATTTGCTGTTTTCATTGCAATAGATAAGATGTTATATCATTGTATACCAATTGTAATAACTGGTATAACTGGAATCTCTTGGAATTTTCTATTGGTTCCTGTTTCTTCTAGAAATAGGTGTTTCTCTTAGTTTCCTTATGTTAAAGTAACTCAAATCTAGGGGAGGAGTACCACTTTGTTAGGTCCTGAGTTCACAGCAGAAGGTAGAGCATCCCTGGATGACCTTGGGTCCCAGTGCCAGTTCTGCCACACATTATTCACCTGAAAAATAGACCTAAGTTCCCACCACCAAAAAAAAAAAAAAAAGATATGTATGTGAGGTAATGCATATGTCAATCAGCTTGATTTAGCTATTCTACAACAAATGCATATATCAAAACATGTTGTACACCATAAACATATACAATTTTTATTTGTCAATTAATTAAAATAGACAAAAGAGTATCTCTAAGGTTCGTGCTCATGCCAGTGCCCCACAATTCTGCAGTCCCCTACAATTATTTTGGAGGCAAATCAGAGGGTCCTGGGTCAACGATCTGCCTAAATCAACCACGCAGCTATTTCCTCACTGGAGTTTTATGGTTTTCTCTTAAAATTTATGGCCTAATAAAACCTGCTGTTTTGTATTTTGGTTTTTTGTTTGTTGTTTGTTTGTTTGTTTGCACAGGGATGGGTGGTAAGCCAATGGGGAGCAATAAACGCTGGGAATACAACAGTTAATGTTTCAGAAATGATTATTTGCAAGTCATCAGCTCAGAAAATATGGTTGAAGCCAGAAATTTCAGTGAAATCACCCTGGGGAGATAGAGTGAGAAAAGAAATAAGACTGAGGACTGATCCCGCTTTGTTAATGGGAAGGGGGTGGGCATGATAAGGGAAATCCCAGAAGGAGCTTGAAGAGGAGAATCAATATAGGTAGAAAGAAAACTATGGTGCTGTGAAAGAAACCAAGGGGATCGACTGCTTTCAGGAATCAGTAGTCAACAAAGCCAAAGCTTTCCATAAGTCAAGTAGGACAGGATTAGGAAGTAATCATTAACTATAACACAATGGAGCTGCTATTAGCCATGGACATCTCCATGGGTGGTGGCAGCAGAAGATACAGGGCAAGTGGCTTGAGAAGTACATGAGAGCCAAAGCTGCAGACTGAGCTGGTATTTATCCCCCCTCTCCAGTAGGAATACTCAAACAGTAGTGCAAAAATGTGCACTATATAGCTGAGCTTAGTCAGAGAAGGAAAGTAAATTACAATTGCAATTACAAGCAACTGCAATTGATGCTGTGGTGGCCTGAGGGTAGAGAGCCTAGTCCCCGGGGCTGAAGTTGAGAGTGTTAGGACAAGAGACATGGCCTAAATCCCTCGGAAAGAGAGGAGGTGAAACTAAGACCACCACACATTATCCAGGATCTGGATAATAATGCACTGTCCAGTCTACTAAAATTGATCTAGAACTGTGCTCTCCAATATGGTAGCCACAAGCCATACATGACTATTTAAATCTAAATTGATTAAATAAAATTTAAAATTAAATTTCTCAGTTACACATTTCAAGTACTCGATAACCACATGTGGGATACTGAGTCCCAGTGGGTACCATGTTGGACAGCAGAGATGTAGAACACTTTCATCATCACAGAAAGTTCTATTGGACAATACTGATCTAGAAAATCTCTGGCCACCATCACAAAGTAGCAACAAGGAGATGTGCTGTCTGCCTCAATCTTTGGATGAAGATGAAAAAACTGTCCCAGAGAGAAACTGATACACCAAGCATGCATCCCTTCCAGGTGTGAGGTCCAAATTTGTAATACCCTATGTGTGGGAATCCCAAGCCAAAAAATCTAACACTTAAGAGTCCCAACAGAAGCAAGTGCTGAACTCAGTAAGATGCATCCACAAAACACTCCATAGTACACATTCACAACCCGAGACATATAGGATTCCACAGAATAAGCAATCCCATCTAAAAATGAGCGAATGATCAACAAGCACAAACCACAGAAAGAGTTTCAACAGGCGCTTCACAAGACTAGAACTCTCAGGCACTGTTGGTGCGAATGTAAATTGTGTAACTCCCCAGCAGAAACAGACACATGAACATGTACCCAAGAGCACATGCCCAGAAACGAGTACAAAAGACATGTACAAGATCTTTATAGTAGATTATTCATAATAGACAAACTGAAAATAACTTACATGTCCATCAATAGAAGAATGGACAAATAATGTACATATTCACATAATGGAATATTTTATAACAATGGGAATAAACAAACTACTGCTGCGTCCAGACACGTGGATGAATCTCACAAAAACAATGTTGAGGGGAAGCAGCCAAACATAAGAGTCCATATAAAGTTCAAAACAGACAAAACTAACCATAACTGAAGTTAGGATAATGATTACTTTTTGGTGGGGTAGTGACTGAAAAAGGGCATAAATGGGGCTTCTGGAGTACTGGTAATATTCTACTTCTTCATCTGTGTGGTTGTTACATGGGTCATATTCCCCTTTTTAAATGTTTCAAGTTGTATAGTCATAAATTGTGCACTTCTCTCTATATATATATAAAACTAAAAATTTACTTAAATAATGATGACTAATTGGGGGATTAAAAACAAGATGGAACTAAGACAGCAATAACATGGAATATGGGATGGGCATGTCAGAGTTCAAGTATTCTATAGTGTTAATATTGTTCTGCGGAAGAATAGAAAATTTATTAATGTTAGGCCTTGTTAAGTATCTTAAAATTTTTAAGGTAACCAAAAAAGAATGGCAAAATGTGTATTTTGACATAAAGAGAAGAAAAAACATTTCTAAAGAAAAATTAATTCATGCTAAAAAAGTGGAAAAAACACAAAAACAAAATCTCTTTCAAAGGGTAACATAAATATACCCAAATAAATCAGTAATCACAGTAAACATAAATAAATTAAACTAACCAAATTAAAAAACAGTTATACTCAGATTAGAATAAAAACAAAACTAATGTAACCACAGGTGACTTACAAGAAACATACCTGAACAGAGTAACACACATTTAAAGTGAAAGGATAAGGATGTCTAGTCAGACGTTGGGTTGATCTA